TCATCCCCATCCGGAATAGAGATGTCGGTAAGATCCGAAACAGTCTCGGTCGTATCAGAAATAGTTGCTGCAGTCATATCTGTAAAATCATAATGTTAGTATTGATACACCGATTTGGCGTCGCGTCGTACACTCACCTGCAACGGTAGGTTCGGGTGCCATGATTCTTGTCTCGTCAACGGCGACTCGCTTCCGCTGAGGCATCTCATCGGTGCGACTTGAAGATCTCTTTGCTGCAGACATACTAGCAGATGGCGTCTTGGCGGCCGGCTTCGTGACAGCAGAATTCTTGGTAGCAGAAGACTTGGCGACAGACTTGCTCGGCGTCAACTGCTTGTCTTCAGCAACTATTGGTATCGCCACCGCTGCCACAACAACAGGCTCAATGTGTACGGTAGATTTGGCAGCAGCCCTCGGTTTAGGCGGCGCCTTTGCCGCCGCCGGCTCCGAACAGGGTGTCTTCTTGGCGAATTGCGTAGCAGGAGGTACACTTGGCAGAGGGGCGAAAGATAGCCATCCTTGGTGTCGGCAATAGCTCATTAAGCTCTTGTCGTCTATATATAAAAGCTGAGTCAGCTAATGTATGTAAATCACAGCAACCAACGCACTGACCAAGGAAATAATCAACGCCTTCCTTTCCCTTCAGACTGCCGCCCGGTGGTACATACCTACGATCATCGCTCAAGCCCAGCTACTTCCGAAATGTCCAGCCCTTTTTCGTTAGCTCGGTCAACATTTGACCGAGCGATTTCTCGGTGGCGATGGTGTAGCCTCTCATCAAGCTGGAGTGATGGTCTCTGTTGTGCCGCAGATCTTGGAATGAACGGCTAGCAGCTTCCTCACATTTTATATCGGTAACCCGAACCGCTTCCTGAATATCTCATGTCTCAACGCCTGAAGCTGATACATTTCACCTGGTATAATTTATCACATACAAATTTCAATATGCGGATTTGAGGCCATCCGATATCTGTTGCGGAGCATGCTGAATATTATCAATCGTATAAACGCATTCCGGAAAATCCGTAACGATCGTATAAGAAGGGTTAAGGACATCTTAGATTTGAAGCACCCCGCGAAAAGGCTGCAAACCTAACTCTACAGCAGGTGGATTAATATAAAAATCTTGCCGCGCCATTTGTTGGTAACCCCTTTCGACATTAATTTCTCGAGACTACAGAAGAGCGATCCCATGTACCGCAACTTAGAAGCTTATACTAGACGGTTTGTTGATCACAAGGGTGATAAGGACTTGTTAAAGATTGTAGGAAGTCTGTTCATTGACAACGATCCTCATGCTGCAATTGCGGCCGCTTTGAAGTCATAACAACGCTAGGATCAGCTATAATAACCCGCATAAACGAGAATTGATTCGCATACTCATAGTGCTTTCATTTCTGAAGTTTCTATACTATTTTTTTCTTCTTTTGCTACTAATTTTTTTTCCTGAATCGATTTAGGTCGGGTTTCACTTAGCGGTAATAATTTCATTACCGGTATCAAGCTTCCGGCTAGTATATAAATTAATGCAGCAGTCGAAAATCCCGTTTCAGCTAGACAACTACTTCACTGATCATCTGACAGCTCATTTGAGTGGTAAGTCGAACAATGGCAACAGCTTTGAGAGGTGCATTGGAGCATTTCAGAATCGCCTACTGGTACTCTCGTTCAAGTATTGCTGTGATGCCAACGCGAACAAAGAAGAACAGCTCTCCGGAATTTAACTCCCGGAACACTTACGGGACCAGAACGAGAACGTAACATCGCTGACAGATTTCTCGTTAGAAGGTATACTACGCTGCAAGTAGTACAACGACTTGATAAAGCTCACAAACGCATGAGTAAAGTCTATTGTAGCAAGAAAATAGATTCTATTTAATAAAAAAATTGTTTTTGCGAGGAGTTAACTTACGCTCACAAGTGTTGAGGTTGCACTTCTCTGTGTACTCGTCTGGATTAGAGTTGTCGACGCAACACTCGACTACCGACGTCTGCTCGGTGTCAGTCGACGTCGTGCCGACATTCCGCCGACATCCCACTCCGTAGCATATACCGATTGGTTAAAAATGCATTTGGAGAACTAATGAGCGCACAATGCCTCATTACCTGGCAGTTTTTTGCCTGGGGAGCTGCTTCACTACCCTGAACCTTGCTAGTGCGTCGAACTCTGACACAATGAAGAGCGAGCCCGATGGCGATGGCAGCTTCTTCGCGTCTCCTACACCAAGGCAAAGAACGACTTATCGTCCACCGAGTCGACAGAGAGCACAATCAACACTGAAAAAGCGAGCATCAGCTCCTCTACGGCCAAGATCACTCCCAAGAGATCAAGACACATGCTCTGTTCACCTTCTCCTGTGGCGGCCAGGCCTATCCAAGTAGAGACTTCCGCGACCTACAACGAGCCGCCGGACATACGACACTGCCAATATCCGATCATGTCCTGCAGGAAGGACGTTTGCCGCTTCAAAACGATAGCAGCAAGAAAAGACGCTTTGGTAGTTTATTGTTTGTGTCGCTCACAATGAGTATGGTAATGTCACAAGAAGTGCGTTTAAGCCTGACACAGTCCGCGATATTATTTCCATGGATTAAAACGTGAAGCGTCTGATTCTGCGAATGCGAAGATCAGGAGACGCCATTTCATTTAGCAAATTACATTAATGAAGTCTACATACGTTTGGTTAAAACGAGCTATCAACTACGGCAATGAGGATAAGTTCGTCATCGCAATACCTGTTATAGTTTCAGTCAGCGGCGACGTAGTTGGTGGAGCCGTAGTCGGCGCTTCTGTGACTGATGTAGGAGTAGAAGGGAGTATCAGTTAGTGGCGTCGTCGTGCCTGGAGCCATTATCGTAATTGAGGCTGTAGTTGGCGGTGTAGTAGGCCCTTTTGTTGGAGGTGATGTCGAAACTGAAGGCGTAATAGAACCTTGTGTCGGACATGACGTAGCAACCGGAGTAGCTGGTGGTGCAGTAGGAGTCGCTGGAAGTGGTGGCTGTAGTTGGGGCTGACGTGGTCGCTGAAGTCTACATCGACGTTGTCGCTTGAGAAGTGGCGCCACTTGTAGGGAAGTGTAACGTGCCGTCAGTACACGCGTCGGCTGACAGCGACGATATATCCTCCAATATGTCACGAAATGCCAGCGATACCCAAGTCCCCGACGCTCGTGCCGCTCCCGTCAATCAGGAAGTATTAGACAGAATTGATCACCACCGACTCCTGCCCGTTGATCGACAGAATCTGCACGCCCGACACGAAGTCCGTCGGCTCCAGCGCCATTCATAACGCCCTTCTGCCGTCTTAAAACAGTACTGCGCGTTGCTGGAGATCGGGTAGTCCACGGACTTCCGCGCGATACTCAGCTGCGGACCGTGATGCATTCGGCGGCAGGTCCAGTTCGCCGTACTTGCCGCAGTGGTGGGTCCGCAGATGCAACCGGGTGATTGGATAGAGGTCGTCGTTGACGTTTGGTCGACACTGAAGACGGAGCCATTGCTCTTCACCTGGACAGCTTGAGCACTAGATGTCGTTCGTCCACATATCGCATCTCATTTGGAATAGATAAAGACGCAGCCGTTAGCGAAGATGCTGGTAGCGCTAAGGACGTCCGCGCCATTGTAGTCAGCACTGTTCTCCAACATGGGGCACGTCAGAGACGCCTGAAGAGTGCCGATGCTGTTTTTAGTGGCGTCTCTCGTGTCCCGAGTTATCGGTACTCACGGTTCTCGTCAACCGGAGTGTTTCAGTATGTCTTTAAATCGAAATAGTGACAAGATAGAGGATTTCGTCAGGGTGTCAGATCGACGTTTCCCGACGACCGTTGGACGACGAGACATCGACTGGTCTGACACCGAGACGTCGACAGCTCTAGTCTGGATGAATACCGCTTGGCACGCGACGTGCGTGTGTCGAATGCGTGCTACAGTTGAAGTGACAGAAATAGAACGACCTGATTGGCAGATCATTCGGTATCGTGGATTGTGATTGGACGTTCACTTCAATTCGGCCTATCATGGGATCTCTCGCGGAAGGACACTCGTGACACGTGGCATCCCCCTGTATACAGTATTTCCGTCCCACTCAGGTTCCGTTCCAGTTTGAGGTTTTAATGCATGTTTGTAAGCAAGGCGTTTCCGTTGATTGTAAGAGGACAGTAGGAGCTGCATGTAGGATGGATCGAGCAACACTTGGACCTCTTGCTCAATCAATCTCACTTTCCAATACAGTGTTTCCGTTTTTGTCATAGTAAAAGGGTTCTCGCAGAAGCCCGTCATCGACTATGAAGAGACGTACGTGCCGGTGGCTTACCTGAAAGGTAGTCAATTCGCGCCAACATGGCGAATGGTGTTGATGGTTTCTAGATCGATCAGTGCAACGTCGACGCGCATTACTGTCTGGGAACCTCAATGAGGAGATGTACATGCCGTTACCTGAAGGACTGTAAGAACTACTCACTTTGGTCGAGGCTGAAGGTGAGAACGACGTCATGTGTCTGCTGCTTCGAAGGCTCTATGGACTTAAGCAAGCATCTCGTGTGTGGGGTGAAACAATCGACAATCAGCACAAGAACATGGGGTTCAAGGCGACCAATGCCGACCCATGTATATACGTGAGAGGCGAAGGTGACGACGAAAGTATACGTCGATGTCATGCTGATCGCGGCGAAGAACAATGATATCATCGCGTCGGTGAAGGCTGGGATAGAAAAGAAGTTCAAGATCAAGGCTCTAGGAAGTGGTGGCTTCATTCTCGAGGCCAAGATCGAATACGACATGGAGTGCAATACTCTACACATCAGCCAACAAGCGTATACAGAGTGAATCATCAATAGGTTCGGCCAAGATGACACTAAGCCGTGCCTCACTCCATTGGAAGTTAGTGTTCGTCTGACTAAGAATGACCAACCCCAAATCAATGGCAGGACCAAGATGGGTTCCAAGCCGTACCGCTCACTCGTGGAAAGCCTGATGTACCAGACGTGTGGTACATGACCCGACATCCCTGAGTTGCTCGTGCGTACGATCCGTTTTCTTTGAGTCGCGTTGTTTGGGAATGCAGCGCAAAGTAGGTGGTAAACTCCATCAAAAGCCGAATATTGGTGCGAGACCGATAGCGAACAAGTACCGTGAGGGAAAGATGAAAGTAACTTTGAAAAGAGAGTTAAGGAGTACCTGAAACTGCTGAAAGGGAACCGAATCGTTTACAGTGTCTATAATCCGCGGTATATTGCATTGGCGAGTGTGTACATACGTGTGCTGTGACAGCGGCTTTTTTGGCTGCGCTCGGCGTGTGTGCTGTGTGTACTTGCTGGTGCCCTGTGCTGCGGTGGTACGCCAAGGTCCGCTCAACTGATCAACGGGCTTCCTGGAAAATCCGGGATAGAAGCACTGGGGTGCTGGCATCAGGGTGGTGTGATACCAGTTGAAAACCAAGGACGTTGCTATCACGTACGACGGACGCCGAGTAACGGAGTTCGTCGCATACAACGATGCAGATTGGACCGGCAACCACGACGACAGACGATCCTTGCTCGGCATAATGCTCATGATGTGTGGTGTCCCAACAGTGTGGCAATCTAGTTTTCAGAATATCGTCGCACTGGGTTCGATTGAGGCCGAGTACTTGGCGCGCAGTGACTGCATGGAGGGGGTCGTGTGGATGCTACTTCTGCTTAAGGACATTGGTTCGAAGCAAGATGGAGAAGCTGTGATCTACGGGAACAACCAAGGTGCGATGATACTGGCGAAGAGAACTGAAAATCAAGCTCGCACTAAGTTCATCGACATTCGCTACCATTTTATTCGTGAGATGGCTACGAGTGGTCACGTTGAGCTGGAGTACGTGGCCACCGAGAATCATCTTGCAGATTTTCTCACAAAGGGCTTATCGGCCAAGAGGCTGCGCTACTTATTGGGCCGCAGTAACGTCGGAATCAAGCTTGATTCATTGAATTGAGTGAGGGGTTGTGGTTACACTTCGCTGTCTACTCGTCTGGATAAATACCGCTTGGCTCGCGGCGTGCGCGTGCCGAATGCGTGCTACAGTTGAAGTGACAGAAATAGAACGACCTGATTGGCAGATCATTCGGTATCGTGGATTGTGATTGGACGTTCACTTCAATTCGGCCTATCATGGGATCTCTCGCGGAAGGACACTCGTGACACGTGGCATCCCCCTGTATACAGTATTTCCGTCCCACTCAGATTCCGTTCCAGTTTGGGATTTAAATGCATGTTTGTAAGCAAGGCGTTTCCGTTGATTGTAAGAGGACAGTAGGAGCTGCATGTAGGATAGATCGAGCAACACTTGGACCTCTAGCTCAATCAATCTCACTTTCCAATTTTCATTTAGCAACTGACATTGACTACAAGCCTCGTTCCCATTGTCCTCTACTCTCAATTACAAGATGGCCCTCGCGGAACTTTTGAGGTCACAAGGTGACCCCATCCGCGGACCATGAAAGGTCCTCATCATGGTCCCGCTACAATCAATGCCCAACGTCATTGGAAGCGCGTGCATAAACAGGAGTCATACGCTCAAAGTGACCACTGTTGAGGCTCGACTCGAGCTGGAGTCGAACTTGAACGGCGTTTAATGAACGCCGCGACAGGCTTCTATAGCCATATTGGCTAAAACGTCTTCCATCCGATTGTGATCACTTAAGTTCATCTAAATTTATCGCAAAATACGGCACAGGTGCCGCCAGTACACCACCGTCAGTTGTCTACTCCGATTACATTTCAATTAGTATTAACTAATGCCGTGCGTTGCCCGGGAAGCTCTGGGTACCTAATATAGAAAGTACTGTGCTTCCTCATTGTTGAAGTCCAAGTCTCACTTAATGAACCTTCATTTCAAAACGATTGGAACTTGGGTTTTGTAAAACTTGGCTACATACAAGATTGTTTTAATGTCGTTCTTATCCAACTGAGTCAATATTCACCTTGTCTGAGATAAGGTTCGCATTATATTACGTGCTGTGATTGCTTACGAACGGTTGTGTCAAATTGTTAGTATAACGCTATAACGGTATTAACAAATGATGCTTTCGTACAGGTTCTCCGAGGATCTACGATATACTAGGGCTATGCAAAGACTGGAATAGGTAAATTTCGAATTTATTGTTTTTAAAGCCATGGGTAATTATTTTGCGGATTTCGCACAATTGTCGTTTTTTTTTAAAAAAAAAATCTCGGATGCGAATTCATCGGGTTTGAGTAAAATTTATTTGCCGCAGCATCTGCGACGACAGATTTTCTGCCCAACCCAGTTCGAATGCAAAATTCGTAAGATACGATTATTATCATGTGTAAGCAGATGTATTGCTTTCACCCATATTCGCTGGAAGTTTTGCATTGTAAGAGATGAATTTCATGTGCGTGTCATTGTTAAGATTTTTTACGATCACCTGTGGACAAAACAGATGTCCGTAGCAGTTCAGTACTACCACACTCATTTTGCATTAAACCTGGTTTGCACGAAAAAGTATTATTATATTTCATTTATTTATTAAAAAAATCATTTTATGATTGCTAATCTATCAAATTGAAATGCACTAAGAAAAATTGTAGTTTGACTGAGTAGTCAAGTTTTTTTTTTCATTATCGCTCGATGCACAATAAATTGTCCATCTTGCAAACAACAGAGAAGACAGTAGTTGCTCCTTGGGTAGAGAGATATGGCCAACATTGCACCTGTTGGTGCGAGTTTGCTCAAACTTCATGATTGTGAGGTTGTGAAAATGCTAGCGCTTATTGAACCAACTGTAACTGAGCTGTACTGGTAAACTGTAGTGGCTTATTTTACTGACTACTGTTGTGACTTGTTGGTAATAGCTAACAGTACTACCTCACTTTTAAACAACGTATGCAGCTTCAAACAATCAAATAATTTAGGCGTAGATGCAGCTTCAATCTATCGCAGCACTTCCATCCTAGCTAGATGGAAGTCCTGTAGCTGCTTAGAGCTGTATTCATGACAGCTAGCAATCTTACGCTAGCTTGGTAGCTGTACACACATATATGTGGTCCATCTGTGTGTGCTCTCAATATCAAACGTTTACAAGTTCATCGTCAATTCCATGGCCGTGAGCATGTCCGCCGCAGCCGAGCCTGTATCGTGTATGCCCACCGTCCAGCTCTGTCTATCCTGCATGACCAACAACGTAAGCTCAGTATTAAACGTGCGTTAGTTCTAATTTGTTGTCATGCCATATCAAAGTATTTAGCAAACCCGGCGGTGTCGCGAAACCCGGGATGTTCCGAAGTAGAAAGGTTTATTAATGAGCAAAAGCAAAGCAAAAGAAGTGGAGCGCCTTCACACGAGTGCGCTCCTACATGAAGTTGAAATGGGCGCGTGCCAGCGCCCATTGATGGCATGGGCCGCGTTCCAGCAACCTCTCGCAGCACTACTCGCGTGCACCAGCCAGCAGCCTGCTTCTTGGCGTGCGTCCCGCGATCCGATTCGGTGGCATCCCCAACTCGTGCTGCAACGTATCCAAGCTCAAACTTTGTGACAGCAATCATGGCGACAAAGCCCTCCAGAGCTTGGTTGCGGTTGCTGCGGTGTGTTGCTAGTCGAGTTGAGCACTGAGCTCGGCGTCTTCCATCGAATCCACATACTCCTGCACCTTAGCAGGTACATCATGAAGCAGTGCAGTCAGAGGCTCCCAGGCGTTTTCGATGGCCTGAAGGCCGATCCACGAAACTAGAAGCTCCCAGCGGCTCTGTTGCTGGCTGAAGTGGTAATCGACGAACTTCTCAACTCCGAGGAGTAGGCCTTGGCTAGACACCAGCTCCAGCAGCTTGGCGGACGTGTTCAACTCCGCATCAGCATAATACTTGAGACGGTTAGCATGCACGTCGTACTTCCGCCCTGAGACGAGATGCTCAATATCAAATGAATGAGCGAGAGCTTTCATCACTCTGAACGGACCGACCCAATGTCCAAGCAGCTTGTTGTGCGGCAGGCGTTGGTCGATCCTCGACCACAGTACGAAATAACCGACATCAAAGTTGGCAGGCGTGCCCTTGTGTGCCGCCATGTCGCGAAGTCGCTGGCGCTCTTTGGTGTTCGTCACTTCCTGGTGGATAGCGTGCAGGGAGGAGAGAAGCTGATCGACAGACTCGCTGATATCATCCAGATCGACGACGTGTTCAGCTCGATCATCGGTAGAGGGCACCACGATAGCATCCAAAGCCGAAGATGCTGGCAGCCCCGTGAAGACTTCCACAGGAGCGTGCCCAGCAAGAGATGGGACCGGTGTATGATTCAGGCTGGCTTGGATAGCAGGCAACACGTATGGCCATTCGTGCTGATCCAGAGCGTATTCCATCAGCAACGCTATAAGAACCTGCATGACGTCCTTGTTCAGTCGTTCGACCGTCCCATTCAGCCATGGTGAGTACACAGGCGTAAATTGGAGCTCCATTTTGAGTCTCGCCGCCAAATGCTTGACCATCTCGTTACGGAAATGCGTTCCTTGGTCGGATAGAAGCGTCTGCGGCAATCCGTATCGGGCATACCAAAGCGTCAATGCTTCCGCAGCGACGTAGGCAGTGGGCGTAGCGCACGGAAACAGCTCACAGAAGTGCGACAGACCATCCTTCACAGCCAGCAGGTACGCGGAGTTACTGAAGCCTTCGCCTAGGAACAGGAAGTCCCAATGCACGACTTCGTTTCTCTGCGTCGTCGCCAATAGCGGGCCGTATGGACGCGGGATTTGACGTGGTCCCTTGGAATGCTTGCACAGAAGACACTCCCGCACAAACTTGGCCACTTTACCGTCCAGCTTTCCGATGGCAAAACGCTTCTTCAGAGCCAAAGCCATAGCTTCCTCGCCACGGTGGCCTTGAGAACCGCAGTGAGCGACGACAAAAATTCGGGCGAGTAAGTCCTTGGCACCAGTGGGGATCCATAGGCGGTTATCGACTGTCACCACACCATCCTCCCTCTCCGAAGCGTTCTGCAGCCGAGCGCGTTCACTGGAGGCAGCGAGCTGAGCTGCACGGACGTCGTTCAGTGTAGGGAAGATGAATTGGTCGTCAGAGAGGGGGCGAAGCTGGGACAAATTCTCCACGGGGACAATATGACGACTGCGCGTCTGCACAGCAGCCACAATCACGATGACACGCGCGTGCCATCGTGAGACGATGTCGGCCCAAACATTTTTCTCGCCGGGAATGTGCTCGATTGTGTACTGAAGGCCACAAAGACGCATCGCCCAGCGCTGCAGCCGATCGCGGACATGCTTTTTCAGCTCGACATTGAGCGCAAAGATGTAAGCCAGGTTGGCGTGATTGCAGTACAAATGAAATTTGTTGGGGCGGAGCAGTAGATATT